TCACAATCACTGAAGAGTCAGGGCCTTGCCAAATATCACCAGGCCAAAGCTTAGCAACACTTAATTTATGCATAGGTCGGAAAGTGTGTTCCCATCTACAGCTATCGTTTGGGGAGGACCGAGAAAGGGCATATACCCATGAAATAGAGGGAGGGGTTCTATCTCAAGGGACCGCTGAGGAAATGAAGCCCTCCTTAGACTCCTGGCCTTCAGAATGTAAGCAGTTCTAGGGAAGGCTGGTGATTTAATTAGCCAACAGTAGAATGACTGAACATGTGTGAGAGGGAGATGTGTTTTCTAGCTGTTGAAGGTGTTTTTGTGCTTTGTACCTACATACTTGTGCCATTATTATACTGATTTTACCAGAAGTAAAATGTGAAAGAGAAAGAAGAACTTGATGAACTTAAACTAAAATCAGTTGTGTTGTTGAGGGTCTATTGATGTCCAGCCCCACACTAGGTCAGGAGAGAGAAGGAAATCACAGGACCTTTGTCGTACCCTAAACCTCCCCCTCTGGATTGTGAAGGTTTGATATGAACACAAGACGCCTTGTCCATGGGGATGTGATGGTGATGTGGAATGGAAAGGTGTGAAGCATTGGCTGTCACCTCGGGTCCTTGTTGCCAAGCTGGTTGTCAGGGCTGGGGCACAGATGCCAAGACCCCTTCTGGAGGAGTCACTTGTCAACTGGCTGCCTTGGTTCGCCTCTGCTCTCTGACTGCTCCTCCTGGAGCTCCTCCTGGGAAAGACATTTTCAAAGCAGTGTTGGGCGAGTGTCGCACCACTGACGGATTTGATCTTGGCCCTAACATGACTTGCCACCCGGCTTCATAAAAACATCACTCAAACAGCCTCAATATGGAAATAATGTGCAGTGAGTTATTCTTATGCCAGGTCATCCATAATGGAAAATCAGCCCAACATGGCCCCGTATTTCTTCCCATTCCCTAAAGTGTAATAAATTGAAACTTTTAAAGCTCGACATTAAGACGGCTTGTCAGCAGCAGCCCAGAGCCTGCCCAGTAGATGTCTTGGGCTGGGAAATGTCTGGTCTTGCCCATCCAGATCCCAAATCTGAACCTGCCTGATTTGTGTGCCTCTGGGATCAGTGACCTCCCCCCACCCATGCCAGTTGGCAGGAAGCTTGAAATTCCTCCTTAAGATGGTCAGTGCTGAGTCCCTGCTCATCCTGGCTGTGTGATCTTGTGCAGTTATTTTGGTCTCTTTTCTTCATCTCAAAAATGGAATTAGAAAGCCCCACTTCTCAGGCTGTTCTGGAGATAAATGGATTCACAGCCACAATAACAACTGTCAGTACTTTGTAATGTTTGCTCAATGCGGGGCACCACACTAAGCATGTTTTCCCTCATTTATCCCACATAGATCCTTTGACGTAACTGTCCCCATTTTACAAATGAGGAAACTGAGGCATAGCAAGATTAAGTGACTTACTGGGAGAGGCCAGTCTCCCAGTTCTGGCTCCCGTACTAAAGCTCTGAACCATTCACATGATGAAATGTGGACTTAGTAAGTGCCAGTAAAAGTTGGTTTCTTCCTCTCTCCTTGGAATAGACTTATTTGTTCATTTCCAGAAGGCTCCAGGTATGATGCATGTTTCCTTGGAGAATGCCATGTTGATGCCACCACATTTATTCAAACTCTGTCATTCTACAGACCCCAACCTAGTCCAGGAGCTCATGACACTGCCTACCTGGCTTCCAGTAGAGCACCAAACCACTCTGCGGTGAAGCTGTACCTTTATTTTAATCCTTTCTACCTGTGTGGTCAGACTTTCCAGTGAGTGGCTTTCCATGAGGGACAGGTGACGTCAGCAGTTAAAAGCTGGAACCCAGGAGTTGGATCAGCCAGGCTTATCCACTGAGAGCTGTGTGACTGTGGGCAAGTCACTTCCCCTCTGTCAGCCTTGGTTTCCTCATTTATCAAAGTCTTAATGATGAAACCTTTCTCTTAGAGGTGTTATGGGCTTTAAGGAAGCAAGGCAGAGAAAGCACGGTGCCCTGAAAATGGTCCCCAGGCAAGGGTAGCAGGTGTGGCTGTTAATGCCAAAAGCACTACAGGAGAGATAATCCTGTCTCCAATCTGCTGTGAGCTCAGAATGCCAGCAGCTGCCCCGTTTACTGTGCTCTCTGTGTTCATCTCTGTCTGGGAAGAGGTGTCCCTCTCCCTCCTTGCTCCAAGGAGAGAAGGGAAAGGACGGAGCATTTCTGGATCAGACACCATACCCCATCTGTAAAATGGGGCTAAAAATAGCGCCTCCTTCTCCAGTGGCTCTGAGGATGGGCGGGATCATACTGATGAAATCTCAGCAGAAGGAGGTGCTCAGCAGATGGGGACTGTTGTCACCATGCACGGCTCTGCCCCATTGACTACTTGAAATGCTTCTCGCTTGCCTCCTGGCTCTGGGCCGAGCTCTTCAGCTTGACAGCGAGGCCCTGCATGTCGCCTCCCTCTCCACCATTAGTTATCTGACATCATCTCCCGTGATGGCCCATCTGCTCCTGCCTGCCCAGACCTTTTGTTCTTTGCATGCCCCACCATGCAGATCCTTCCATGTCTCTCCACTTCTACCCCTTCCACCCTGGGAGGAGCAGCTCCACCGGCTCCTTCCTGGAGGACCACAATGGCATCCACACTGGCTGCCATATTTCCATTCACTTTCCACTAAAGCCCATCCTCCTGACAGCAACCAGAGGGAGATCATGCCACCTATCTCCTTAGAAACCATCAGTGGCTTCTTTACAGACTGAAACAAAATCTAAGCTTTGCAGCCTGGCTCACAGCCTCACCAATGTGACCCCATCTACCTCTTCAGCATCACCTTCTCTCCCTCTCTGTACAGCTGTCTGGCCACACTGGTCTTTCTGTTTCTCAGCAGCATGTTTGTTCCTGTCTCTGCCTCAGGGCCTTTGCATGTGCCATGGCCTCCCACATGGCCCTCTTCCTCCTCAATCTGCACAGGTCTGTCTCCTTTGCATCCTTTAGATCTTAGCTTACATGCTTCTCCTTCATGAGGTCTCTGACTTCTGCTCAAATGAGGTGCTAGCTTTGCCCTGTCTGCCTTCCAAGGAGCGCTCCTTCCCACCTCCCAGCCCACCAGATGCCCTGGCGTCACCTGCCAGAAGATAAGATCGTGCCTGACATCTCATTTCTTCTGTCAATTATGCTCTAACAATGCAATTACTGCCCCTTGCTCAATATCATTTTCCTCAGTGTGTCTCCATCCCTCCCAGTCACTGGGGAACATGCGCCACCAAGTCCTCCTTTGCCCAAACCCTGCACTGAGCCCAACTGCAGAAATACCTTGTTCTCAGGGGTTCGAAAAGGGGGTTTCATTGGTTGTGGCCCCTGGTATTAGGGGTGGCAGTGGGGCTGGAACTACAGGTGTTAGCATGCAAAAGCTGTGGGAGTTGAGTAGAGCCTCAGACTCAGGCGAGCTGAGCTCCACCCCTCAGACTAGGCACCTCCCTGCTGCCAGACTCGATTTCCTCATCTGTAAAATGGGGATATTACGAGTGTGCACCTGCATACAGATTAAAAGAAAAAATATACATAAAGCCTTTATCATGGCACTTGACAGGAAATTTTCACATGAATGTCAGCCTCCATTCTCCCTCCTTCCGTTATCATTAGTATAACTCTAATATCTGGGCTAAGCTTCTGGACATTTGGAAGAAGACATTCTCTCCCCAATTTGGAAGCAGATGAAAATGTTTACAGGTGGACTGTACCCTCGGGGAACCCCCTGCCTTGGCCAGTTGTCTTTGGATGGCCTCCACCTTGGCTCTGTTGTTTTCTTTTTATAGGTCAGTGGGGCCCCTCGCTTCCTCAGTGGCCTCAGGGATCAGAGATTTATGCATGCCATTTCGGCAGGACTCTGCTTGCTTTTTTTTTTTTTTTTCCTCCTGTCTGTTAGCACCAACCCCAATGTCATTAACTGTTTTGGAGGGACAGTGGCCTGGCATTTTAGAAAGTGTGCTGGTCTAATAATACTAGTTGTGTTTCTGTTTCTTGTAACTTTGTGGTTTCGGGCAAGGCACTTCCCCTCTCTGAGCCCTGAGTGTTTTCCTCAGATGATTTCTAGGGGTGTTTTCTGCTTGGAAATTCTAGAGTTCAGAAATCGAGGGGAAGCTGCCAATCACAGAATGGACTTTGGGTTTGTGTGCAGATAATGTGTTTCTCCAACAGGGCATGTTTGTCTTCTGGGGTCACACACATAGGTAATTGTACTATCTTGATGGCCCAACTTTGCTAGGATAGAAGGCTTACTATGGGCAGGTGGAAGGATGAGAGAGAAAAGGGTGACAAAGAGCTTTAATTAAGTCAGTGGCTCTTAACCTCTGAAAACCTAGGGGAAGCTGTGAACCTAGGAAAATGCTCACATGCATAATACTTTGTGTCCATTTAAAAGGGGGTTCACAGATCTCCTTTTAACCCTGAATCCTGGTTAAGAAACTTCAAACTGGCATGTTTGTTTCCACTGACCTTTAAGACACCTCCTCCAGGAAGCCTCTCTTGACTTCTATGCTGTTTTCCCACTGCCACAGTGCCCCCCTCTTCCCTGTACTTCTCAGAGAGGTTGACATTACCTGTTCCTGCCTGTCTTTCCCTGGGAGGGCAGGGGCTGGCTTGGTTGTTCCCCGCATGCCCCCTGCCTGGCACTGAGTGGGCTTCAGCAAGTACAAGTATTTGCTGAATGGAACTGAGGAATAGGTCCCGACACCGAAGCAGGGGTGGCCTAGCCTTATTCCATGGGGCAGTGCAATTACATTGAGTGGGCTTAGAACCTGACTGACTCAAATGCAAATCCATTCACTTCCGCCAGCTGTGGGTTGATGAATAGTGGCAAAGACGTGAGGGTTGCCTGTAAATTATTGTGCAGCTTGAGAGGGGCTGGGCTGGGCTGGAGGGAAAGGACTTTCAAGGAGGCAGCCTCATGAGGAGGCCTCTTCTCTTTCTTCTTAACCTCCTGTCCGGTCCAGCTGGAGGAGAGTGAAGCCAAGTGTGAGGATGCTTTGAAGACCCAGAAAGCGCTGACGGTGGACCTGGAGAGCATGCACAGCGAGCTGGAGAACATGACCCGGAGCAAGAGTCTGGTACCCGTCCCTACCTGTAGCTGTGGGGCCCCAGCCAGTGCAGGCCTTTGGGATTTAGTGGGGGCCTACTGTGCACTCAGCACTATAAGAAAAACAAGGCACTTTTTGTGGATCTACTGGGTACCACCTTGGAGGTACAGACATTCATTGTAGGCCTACTGGGTGCTCAGCTCTATAGGAGGGGCAAGGGCACTTATTGTAGACCTACTGGGTGCTCAACATACTTGGATTGTGCAAGCATCCTACTGTAAGCTGAGCATTATAAATGTGAAGGAGCATATATGAGTGTCAACTGTGTGCTCCTCTCTGTAAAGGTAAACAAGGAAACCTGTCGTAGACCTAATGTGTGCTCACCACTGTGAAGGTGCATATGATGTGAGCCTATCATTTGCTCAGCCCCCTAAGCAGGAACACAACTGCTTATTATGTGCCCGTAGTGTGCTCACCAGAGTAAGCGGTTCTTATGCATCTGTTGTAGTCCCACTGTGCACTCACCACTATAAAAGGGGATTTGGTCCTTACTGTTGTGCTAGTCCATGTCTATTCCTGTGAATAGAGACAAGGACATCTCACTTAGGCTCACTACAATAAGAAGATCCAGCCATTTACTGTGGAACTACTGTGTGCTCACCACTGAATGGGGATGAATGAACATATATTATGCATCTATTATGTTGGTAAAAACTGGGTGTGTGTTCCTTCATCCCCTGTCTTGGTATACAGGGTTGGTTTAAAATATACTCAAGTATAAAATCCTAACATTTAGGTATAGTCAGAGACTTACAGGCAAATGCATGTCTCAAGATTCCTGTTGGCCCTTTTGTCCCTTATTTTGTTCACACCAATTAAGAGCTTGCCCACAGCATTTACACGCACATGCATATGCACACACATGTGCACACACAGGTCTAATGTACACATTCATATACAAAAGCACCAGACACGCATACAAAATAAACACCCTCATAGGTAAAATATACATCCAAATGAATCCATCTAACCAATACACATTTATTGAGCCCCTGCTATATGCCAGGCTTGATGCTTAGTACTGGGGATATACCTGTGAAAAGAACAAAGTCCCTGTTCTCAGGGAGAGTATAGGTGTTTGCACTCACCTATAACTACTATGCACATTTAAAATGTGCGTCCATAGATTCCTGGGCAGGAATCCATCCACACACAGACATAAATCCATTCACATGTGCATGTGTGTGCACACCCACAGACACACCATTTGCAGTCACATGCATGCCCAGTGTACAACACACACTGAACTGTCATAAATGAGCATGCAGTTCCCTGTTGCCACTACACATCCTCACACACATACCTGTGGCAGGTGTTGGCATGCATGGCCACCTTCACATGTACATGTTCACTTCCCTCACACACCCACAGGCGATGCCCCTCTGCTCTTCATCAGGCCCCTGCTGCCCACCCCCCACCCTCCCAGCACACCCCAACCACTGGCCTGCCTCTGTCAGGTGGATGAGCAGCTGTACCGGCTGCAGTTTGAGAGGGCGGACCTCCTGAAGCGCATCGACGAGGACCAGGATGACCTGAATGAGCTCATGCAGAAGCACAAGGACCTCATTGCTCAGGTATTGAAAAAGACTTGGGGGAAGAAGCTCAGGGGCTTGGGGCCAGATGGGTAGGGAATGTTGAGAAGGTGATGTAGTCAGACCACTACCTGGTGTTAGGATCTTGGATAAGTACCACAGAGATAGACAGAAATTTTAAATTTTATGTGGTTTTAAAGGAGGAGAATGTCACCTTCAAATATTATGTGCATCTCTAAAGGACATCTCCACCAGGAAACATCTTGATTTATTCATACATCTATCTACACATCTACCCACCCACCCATTTATTTGCCCACTTACCCACCCATCCACTCATCTATTCATCCATCTATTCTCCCATCCACCCATCCATTCCCTCATTTGTCCATCCACCCATCCATCCACCCACCCACTCATTCTCCCACCCATCCACTCATCTATCTACCCATCCACATATCCACCCTCCCATCCACTCATCTATCTACCCATCCACTCATCCACCCCCCCATCCACTCATCCATCCATCCATCCACTCATCTACCCATCTATCCATCCATCCACTCACCCATCTACTCATCCATCCACCCATCTACCCACCCACTCATTTATCTACCCATCCACTCATCCACCTGCCCAGCCACTTATCTGTCTACCCATCCATCCATCCAGCCATCCACTTGTGCATCCACTCATCCACCTGCCCAGCCACTTATCTGTCTACCCATCCAGTCATCTATCCATCCATCCACTTGTGCATCCACTCATCCACCTGCCCAGCCACTTATCTGTCTATCCATCCATCCATCCAGTCATCCATCCATCCATCCACTTGTGCATCCACTCATCCACCTGCCCAGCCACTTATCTGTCTACCCATCCAGTCATCCATCCATCCATCCACTTGTCCATCCACTCTTCCATCCACCCATCTATCCATTCACTCCTTTATCCATCCATCCATACACCTATTCCATCAAGCATTCTTCCACCTATCTACCTCTCTATTATATCTGCTTATCTATCTATCCTTTATTTATTTATTTAATATTGATTGAGAAGTTACTATGTGTTAGGCACTGTGAGAAATGCTGAGCATACTGTACAAAAGCACATCCCAGTCCTGCCCTCATATACTTCACAGATTAGTGGGCTGGGCAGACCTTACCACATAGTCATCCAGAGCAGAGGGCAGACTTACCAACTGAGTTATGAGTACAGAAAGGAAATGAATACGATTCTGCAAATCCTGATCTGGGTTGCGGGTCAGGGAAGGCTTTCCGAAGGAGGTGGCACTTGGATGAAGATCTGAACCAGGAGCAGGAATTAGATTGGAGTGGGACAGTGTGGGTTAGGGGAGTGTTCCAGGAAGAGAGAACAGTGTATGCAAAGGGCCTGTGATGGTGTATTTAAGAGGCTGGAAGGAGGCCAGCGAGGGAAAAGTGGCACAAGATGAGCTCAGTGAGTTCAGGAGAGGAGGGCCAGATCAGGGTCTCAGAGGCTCTGATGAGTTTAAGTTTTGCTTATGGGTGTTGGGAATCATAGGCAAGCTTTTTAGGAACAAGAGCGGCTGGCATGTCGCCCCAGACCTTCACCCCCGCAGTGGCAGAGCTATTCTCTACCTTGTCCAACACTGTATCCAGAGCTGAGAAGAGTGCCTGGCATGGAGTAGGTGCTCAGAAAATAGCTGCTGAATAAATGAAAGCTGCAGTCATTCAAAAGAGAGACAACAGTGGCTTGTACCGGGCAGGTGGAGTGGAGATGAGGAGTGGATGGATGGACTCTGCAGATGTTTAGGAGGCATGATGGCGGCATGGGGGGAAACAGAGGCTGTGGGTAGAGCTGAGGAGTGTGATGAGGATTCCCCAGTGGATTTCTGATCTGCATAACAGGGGAGAACAAGTCTCTTCAGGAGCAATGAGTGTCTTCCTCAGATTGTAGCTCCAGAGGAGATCCAGGGCAAAACACCTGCCAGGCTCCCAATGCATCCAACAGAGATCTGAGGGGATTTCTGCTAAACAAGGAATGGTGATAACAAAAATAATCAATTATATCATCAACATTATAACAAACACCACAAAAATAGCTTATGTCATCTTCTACATTTGTGAATCACTTATTTTTGTCCAAAGTGAAAGTGTATTTATTCAATTACAAAAGCAGTATATGCATATGTCCATTATAAATAATTTAAATTCTAAATATATGTGGAATATAGAGAGTGAGGGGGCCTTCTGACCTCTGGAATCCCTCTCTTCAGAGACAGTCAAGCTCAACAGTTGGTTCTACTTTGTTTTAGGACTTTTATTCTTCATGGCCTCATTTATTCTCTGAACAAATGCTATGTGGAGAGTCTAAGCAGAGACTATCAGCCCATTTTACAGATAGGGAGATTGAGGTGCAGAGAGGTGCTGTGGCATGCCAGAGCCAGTAGCTAGGTCTAGAATCCCAGTTGCCTGACACTCAGAGTAGTTCTCTTCTCTTGGAATCTGCTCCTAGTGCCATGGCCAGCCCATTTCTGTCTGGGCTCTCAAGGGTATATATCAAAGTGCTGAGCAGTTGACCAAAGCCATGAACTTATGTAATTGGAGTGACTCAGTGAACATTGAGATGAAAGATGTTGGGAAGGATATGAGAGGTAACTTTTGGGAAATAATTACTGTCACAGAAGCTCTGGGAGAGACAGACATCTATTGGTGGGGGAAGAAGGGATTTTCAGGGGTGGTTTCCCAGCAAAGCTGTGGTCTCGGGATGACATTTTTTTGTCTCACCAGTCTGCTGCTGACATCGGGCAGATCCAAGAACTGCAGCTGCAGGTGGAGGAAGCCAAAAAGGAGAAGCATAAGCTTCAAGAACAAGTACGTGCTCAAAGGCGTCATAGTGGGGGAGGAAGGAAAGGTTCCCTCTGAGCCCTTAAACTTCAGCTCCTGAATACTGTCACTTGTGCATTTATTCATTCATTCATTCAAACACTCACTCACCTCCAGATGAATTGAGAACAATCCCAGCAGACAAGCACACACGCACACACGCACGCACACAACACACACACATACTCTTGCCTGTGCCTGTCCCATATCCAGAGATGACTCAAGCAATGAGACTCATCAGCTATTCAGTGTGGGATTTTCTCCTTCTGAGAAATGGCTCCAAGGAGAAAGGGATGGACTGTGCAAGTCAGAATGTGGTCTTTTGTGAAATCTCCCTTTGAAGTCACGGTCCCTCTCAATATCCCTGGCTTTCCATCATTACCTAGTAGGTTGCTGTTATCCATGAGATCCTCGAAGCTTTTCTAGACTGTTGCCTGTGCCTGCTTAGAGTGACTGTCAGAGTGACCAGGTGTCAAGCAAACTACCACAGACACCGAGTAACAACAAACACAGCAAAAATAATATCAGCAATGATCATTTGCTGGGTGCATATTATGTGCCAGGTCTCCTTCAATCCTCACAAGAAAAATGAAGAAACTGAGGCTCAAGGAAGGGAACTCACTTGCCCAGACTCATCTAAGTGGAAATTGGTGAAACTGGGTTTTGTGCCTGGCTCCCAAACCCATCCTTGCCTGTGTCCTTCAATGCCAAAACTTGTTGCTCACAGACTAGCTTTGCTCCTTTATCATAGCAGGCAAAGAGGTAAGAGAAGCGCTGATTAAAAGTCCTGTTTTGAATTCTGAGGGCACAGGAAGCATCACCTCCCAGTACCTGAGACCCAGAAGCAGGATCTGATGTGAGGGTCCAACGAGGGTCCTCAGATTGGGACCCAGCAGTTCTTGCTTGTGCAGACACTCAACATGTAGCTCCTGAGCAGAGAAGGAGGTGGAGTGAATGGGCCCTGGGGCTGGATCCTGTGTGTGTCTGGGATTCAGGGCCAGCAGGTGACCAATAGGCCTCTCGGATGTGCCCCCAGTTGCAGGTGGCCCAGATGCGCATCGAGTACCTGGAGCAGTCCACTGTGGATCGAGCCATCGTGAGCAGACAGGAGGCGATCATCTGTGACCTGGAGAACAAGACGGAGTTCCAGAAAGTGCAGATTAAGAGATTTGAGGTACTTGGTGACATGTAAACACTGTTGCAGCCTACAGCAGTTAAAGCTTTTGTGTAAGCTCCATCCATCTATCTACTAATAAGCCTTGATCTGGATATACATAACTCATCCATCTCCCACCCAGTCTCTCCCCTCCCTCTTTCCTTCCCCCCTCCCTCTTTCCTTTCTTCCTTTCTTCCATCACACACAATCCCACAAACCACCTATCTGTTAACTTATCCACTGGCATCTATTTCTGTCCATCTCCGTCCACCATCACTGGTCCATTCATCCATCTCTCCCTTCCATTTCTTCTTCTTTCTACCTTTATTCTTTCTTCTCTTCTTCTAGTCTTTTTTTCTTCAGACCCCAACTGCTCCAACTTCCCATCCTTTTATCCATTGGTCCAGTTCTGCTCCTCTCCCTACACCTACTCATCCACGCATGTGCCCAGCACTCATTTGAACAGATGTTTATTTTGCACTCAGTGTGTGCTAGGCCCTGTTTTCGGTGTATGGAACGTATATGTATGACACAGATTCTGCAGTCCAGAAACATAAGGCTTTGTAAGGGATGTGGGTGAGATACGTACATAAATATCCATGATATGGGGAGAGGGCTGTGGGGTTTGGAGGACAGAGATCTTTTCAAAGCTAGGGAATCAGAGAGGCTTACAGGGGGAGATGGCATTAATGCTGAACCTTGAAGGACAGGTAAGACTTGGATGGGGTGGGGTGGGGTCCAGTAATCACATTTCATTGCACTGGAGCTGGAAGCAAAGGTGTTTGCCTCCAGCTCTGTAGGCCAATAAAATTGGACATTTACAGAGGGACGTCATTATTGTCAAAATCCTCTTATATCAAGCCACTCTATCTGAGGGTTGACAGTCATGTGGGACATGTAGAATAGGCCTCACCTAATGAGTGAGAAGATGACCCCAGAGAGGTCAAGTGATTGGTTCAAGATAAAGCCAGGCAGTGTCAGGGGTAGGAGGAGGTTTACACAGTACCTTCACTCCATGCTGGTCCCGGGTTTCCATTTCTCTGCAGCCAGCTGGCTTCACCACAGTATAACAGTGTAGACAAGGGGAGGTTTTATCCCTCACTCTGAAGCCTTTTTTCCCAATCCCCCTGGGGGCATTTGGTCTCTGCTATGGATGAAGAACAGAGAGATTCTACACCTTGACCATCAGTGACCCTTGGAATTGCTCAAGGGATCCCTCAAGGCATGACTGTCTCTGTAGATCACCATGAATCTTTGATCTATGATCTTTTAAATATGTAATGTTGGGCTCTATCCTGTCATTTTTTTTTTTTTTTTTGTCTTTTTTCCATGTCCGGCAACGGATCGCAACCCTCAGTGTTGCCCCCGTACCGGACCGGGGACCGGCAACGGGACTGCAAGCCTCGGTGTTGCTTCCGCGCCTCGCTCAGCCAGTGAGCAGGAACCGGTCTGTATGTGGGATCCGAACCCTATCCAGTGCGCTACTGGGCCGGCCCTAAACCTGTCATTTTTTAACTTGGTTTTAGCATAGCCAAGTGATAACAGAGAAAGAATGACAATTATGATAGGAAAACTTCAAATTGAAAAATTCTGTCTCCAAATTTACATTGTCTTTCTGCCACCATTATTTGAATTTAGTAGAATCATGGGTCCTTGCTGCAGAGAGATGGGGTACCTCGAGGAACAGTTTGAGAACTACTCTTCATCCTTCTACCCCTCCTGATGCTCTTTGAAATTGTTGCTAAGCTCCATTTGAAAGATGAAGGGGAGCTGAATAGTAAATCTTTTTTTTTCTATTTTTCACTATCTGATCTGAAGTCTGTTCTTTCCTCTGTCTGTGGCTGCTGAAAAGGGGCTCAGAGTCCTTAGCAAGGGCCTGAAATATTCATGCAGTCTCCTTCTTATGTCAACACGCGAGTATTTGTCCATCAGGATCGATTGGTTCCAGGCTTGTTGGCCAACTAATGAATTTTGCAGAACAGCCCTTGGGTTTGTTTTCTGTCGTGTGATGCCCAAAGCACTTTTATCTCTATTGTTTCATTATGTCTTCATAGATCCCCCCTCAAAAACCCCCAAAAAAGGAAAAATGCCTTAAAATATTAAGGCTGAGGTTCATGAGAGATTATTTGATCAAGCACCCTCATTTTATAAATCAGGAAGCCGAAACCCATATTGGGGAAGAGGTTTTGACCCCCAAAATGGTTCTCCCTCCACAGTACCACTCCACCTCCTAAACCCTGGGATGAATGGGGCTGCCATAAATATTGATAACTCCCAATTCTTATCCAGCATGTCCTATGTGCCAGGCACCGAGCTAGGCCTTCTGCATAGCAACACATTAGATCCTAACAGCATCTCTGGAACACAGGTACTATCATTGTCCCTGTCATTCAGAGATGTTCAGCCACCTGCCCAAGGTCACACAGCAGGAAGAAGAAGAGCAGGAAGAGCTAGAGGTGGGATTTGAGCCCAGAACATCTTAGAAGTCAGGGTTCTCTTTGTTATATCACACTGCCTCTCAGAATAGCAGCTATCATTTTCTGTGTTTTTAAAGTAAATTCTTCATTTTTTGCAGCAGAAGTCAGGATTCTTATCCTGATTACTTTATGAAAACAGAGATTTAGCAAAGGATTTCTCTTCTTGGAGCCCTCTATTCTGTGCCCCCCCGGCCTCTAACTCCAAGGTGGGCATGTGCTCTCTGTCCCTCCCAGGTCCTGGTGATCCGGCTTCGGGACAGCCTGATCAAGATGGGCGAGGAGCTGTCACGGGCAGCGACGTCAGAGTCCCAGCAGCGGGAGAACAGCCAGTATTACCAGCGGCGTCTGGAGGAGCTGAAGGCTGACATGGAAGAGCTGGTGCAGCGGGAAGCAGAGGCCAGCCAGCGGTGCATGGAGCTGGTGAGTCCTGTCCCCAACCCTGGCAGGCTCTTATCTGACTGAGGGCTTAGGATGGGTCTCATGGGTCTTTGGGGTGGGTGGAAAGCAGGGAGAAACCAAAAGGGGGTTGGCTGAGAGATGATGCTGCCATTGGCTGCAAACCCTGGGGGTGGGCCCAGAGTAGATCAATGGCATTCACTGCTGCTGGATGGCCGTCAAGTGTGTTTACATCTGAGACTCCAGACATTTTTTCCTGCCTCACACGTCCACCCCAATAGCAGGGCAGCTTCATGCAATGAGGAGAGAGCCAGTGTTTATTCAATGACTGTCTTCTGCTGAGTCTTAATATCTGTAACATCATGACAACCCTGAGAAGTCAGAATTATTACTCCCATTTTACAGATGAAGAAACCGAGGCTTCAAAGAGGTGAGAAAACTCATCTAAGGTCATATCTAGTAAATGTAGAGCTACTTCTGGGCTATTAAGAACAACAACAAGGGCCAGCCCGGTGGCGCACTGCGCTAGTGCGCCGCTTGGGAAGTGCGGAGGCGCTCCCGCCGATGGTTCGGATCCCACGTACAGACCGGTTCCCGCTCACTGGCTGAGTGAGGCGCGGGGGCGACACCGAGGGTTGCGACCCCATTGCCGGTCCCGGTCCAGTGCGGGGGCGACACTGAGGGTTGCGATCCGTTGCCGGACATGGAAAAAGACAAAAAAAAAAAAAGAACAACAACAAAAACAAAGGATAAAAATGATAATGATACAAGCACTCGCGATGTGCCAGGTTCTGAGTGAGACATTTCTCATTTAAATCCTCATAGCAGAACTGTGAGGTAGGTGCTATTATAATGTCCATTATACGTATGGGAAAACAAAAGCACAGGTATATCGGCTTGCCACGTTGAAGCTCAGAGTTGTATGTTCATTTGCTCACAGTCACATATGAGTAAGAATTTGAACCCAGGTCTTTCCAACTTTGAAGTCTCTGCTTTTAGCCACTAAGGCCCCTGGTGTGATCCAAGGAACATTTTAAAATGTGATTCTCTATCATTTACTGTATTGTTCTAAGAATAGTTTCCTACAGGGATCACAGAGCTTCTGAGAGTGCCCACGTTGCCTTTTCCCCATGAGACCAGGCATCTTAAGGCTCCAGATTTCTGATTCTGTGACCCAGAGGACGTCTGGCACCCGCTTTGCACACCACTACACAGCCTTCCCTGAAACAACCCACAGCATGCCAAGACCTGGCCCAGAGGGATCTAAGTTATGGTCATTTTCTCCTTCCCACACTATCCACTCCAGTTTTGCAACAAGTCTCACCAACTTGCCCTCCTGCAGCAAATGTATTTCTTGAGCCACTTTCTCCCACAGCCAGTGTCATTCCCATCAGCTTCGCCCTTGACAAGCTGGCTGCCTGGCTCTTCTGTGTTGGGGGAGGGGAGGCACCAAGAAGAGACAGAGGTTCCCAGACAAGTCCAGGTCCCCTGACTGGCAGTTCTCCACCCCCATAGTGCTGGGAGAGAGAAAGGCTCTTTCCTCCAATTGACAGAGTAACTTCCTCATTAACCAGCCCTGCTTCTCATGCAGCTGAGTTCTCCTCCTGCAAGCTCTTGCTGGAGGCGAGAGAACATCCCGAGCTTTCCTCCTCTGATGTCTCTTTTAACTGGCCAGACACTCAGGCATTCTGGCCAGATCAAATAGTGCTTTCCTTTCTCTCTTTCTTGCTGTCTTTTTCTGTGTCTTTCCTCTCCCCTTCTCTCCTCCTCTCTCCTCTCCTTCTCGCCCCCCCCCTTTTATTTTCTTTCCCTCTCTCTCTCTCTTTTTTTTTTTTGTTGCTTTTCTCTCCCTGTCCCCATTCCTGGGGCCATACTCAGATCTTTAAAGGTCCCAAAATACTAAAAGATTGTAATGTAGCCCCACATATGAATCAGAATAGAAATAACATAAAACTGTAAAGCACAAAGCTTGTGTGTATGCTGAAATTAGATCTGCATCTTTCTGTGTTTTCTGATTGCAAGATTCTGGATAAGTTTATTAAGGATGAACTTTTCTCTTTTATTTTGATGTGTTTGTGGTTAGAGTGTTAGTTTCCAAGGGTTGCCATAATGAATGACCATGCACTGGGTGATTTAAAACGATAGATGTATTCTCTCATAGTTCCAGAGGCCAGAAGTCTGAAATCAAGGTGTTAGCAGGGCCTCTGACGGCTCCAGGAGAGAATCCTTTCTGGCCTTTTCCAGCTTCTGAAGGTTCCAGGCATTCTTTGGCTTGTGGCTGCAATACTCCAACCTCTGCCTCCATCTTCACCTGGCCTTCTCATGTGTGTGTATATGTTTCAAATATCCCCCTCCCTTTTTCTTACAAGGACAGCTGTAATTGGACGTAGGGCCCACCCTAAACCCAGGTTGGTCTCATTTCAAGATCCTTACCTTAATCGTATCTACAAAGACCCTTTTTCCAAATAAGGTCACATTCACAGGTCCCTGGTGAACATATCTTTTGGGAGACCACCCTTAAACCCACTACAGGAGGGGAGGGCATGTACCTGTTGGCTGGTGTCTAATGTCATTCAGCACATCCTGTTGTTTTCTCTGTGATTCTGTGGGAAAGCAAGGCTCAAAGGGACAATGTCAGGCTAGCAGGCTCTTCCTAACAGTGGATGTCCCAGACTCACCAATCTGTTTGCCTTCAAGTATGTCCTTTACCTTTGGGCCAGTAGCTCAGTCAGTTAGAGCATGGTGCTGATAACATCAAGGTCCAGGGTTTGATACCCGTACTAGCCAGCTGCCAAAAAAAAGAGAAAAAGATATTATTTATCTTTCTATGAACTTTTTGAAGTACACTGGTACANCCCCTTTTATTTTCTTTCCCTCTCTCTCTCTCTTTTTTTTTTTTGTTGCTTTTCTCTCCCTGTCCCCATTCCTGGGGCCATACTCAGATCTTTAAAGGTCCCAAAATACTAAAAGATTGTAATGTAGCCCCACATATGAATCAGAATAGAAATAACATAAAACTGTAAAGCACAAAGCTTGTGTGTATGCTGAAATTAGATCTGCATCTTTCTGTGTTTTCTGATTGCAAGATTCTGGATAAGTTTATTAAGGATGAACTTTTCTCTTTTATTTTGATGTGTTTGTGGTTAGAGTGTTAGTTTCCAAGGGTTGCCATAATGAATGACCATGCACTGGGTGATTTAAAACGATAGATGTATTCTCTCATAGTTCCAGAGGCCAGAAGTCTGAAATCAAGGTGTTAGCAGGGCCTCTGACGGCTCCAGGAGAGAATCCTTTCTGGCCTTTTCCAGCTTCTGAAGGTTCCAGGCATTCTTTGGCTTGTGGCTGCAATACTCCAACCTCTGCCTCCATCTTCACCTGGCCTTCTCATGTGTGTGTATATGTTTCAAATATCCCCCTCCCTTTTTCTTACAAGGACAGCTGTAATTGGATGTAGGGCCCACCCTAAACCCAGGTTGGTCTCATTTCAAGATCCTTACCTTAATCGTATCTACAAAGACCCTTTTTCCAAATAAGGTCACATTCACAGGTCCCTGGTGAACATATCTTTTGGGAGACCACCCTTAAACCCACTACAGGAGGGGAGGGCATGTACCTGTTGGCTGGTGTCTAATGTCATTCAGCACATCCTGTTGTTTTCTCTGTGATTCTGTGGGAAAGCAAGGCTCAAAGGGACAATGTCAGGCTAGCAGGCTCTTCCTAACAGTGGATGTCCCAGACTCACCAATCTGTTTGCCTTCAAGTATGTCCTTTACCTTTGGGCCCTGAGAAATTTCCACCGAGAGAAGAAAGAAAGTCGTACTTTCTAATAGCACCCATTTATTCATTCAACATATATCTATTCAGCACCAACTATGGGCAGGGCATAAGGATAGGAATTAGTGAGTAGGGGCAAGAAATCATGAGGTGCCTGCTGTGTAGACACTCACAATATGGAAAAAACAGGGCTCAGTGGAAGAGTTAAATTTGAAGTTGAGTCTTGTTGCTGAGGCCCCTCCCACTGGTGGCCCCTCCCCTTTCCCAGGCTCCTCAGGAGAGCTCATCCTACCTGTCTATGTCCATGCCTTCAATTTGCCTACCCACCCAGATCCCATTCCTGTAAGAAAAGGGCAGCTTGTCTATGTTGTGCATTCTATCTAACCCTGCAAGGAAGTCAGACTGTGGTTCTTTCTTTCATTCATGTGATATGTATCCATAGTTTTTACTATTGGTCAAGCCCCGAGCATGCTAGATGCTGGGGATCCAGCAGAGAACAGGACCCAACCTTGCCCTCAAGGAGCTCACATATGGGAAATACATAACCACACGGGAAAATATAACTAAAGCCATTGCTAACATATTTCACACAAATATGGAGTTTCCTCCATAATGGGAGCTCAGAGCTTTCGCAGGCAAAACAAGGGGTCGTGTGATCTGAGGGATTTTTAGACAGCCAGTTGGCACCAGATCTCTCTCCCATTCCCACTGTCACCACCACAAATCCATTTCTTAGGGTAAAGCATTGCTCTCTTTACCTTTCATTTTTAAAATTCAAATCTCCCTGGAAGGGATAGAATAAATTCCCTAACTCCACAGTCCCAGCGTTCATTCATTCATTCCCTCAACAAACATTTATTGAGCTGTTTTATGCTCAGGCCCTTTGCAGATGTTATCTTCTTTAACACTTAGCATCACCCCCAGCAGGGGCAGGGGTGTGATGTGCCCAAGGCGGCAGAGTCAGGAGTGAGAACTGGGATTGGTGTCCCTGTGCATACAGTGCTAAAGCTATCACTATGACACCCCATTGCCCTTTCAACCCAACCCTGCTTAAAAATGGCTCTGCTGTGGGAGACCAAAAAAGGATCTGGCTCCCTGGGCCCTGATGAAAAGCAAAAAGATGTTGATGGATCTTCTGTCCACATTCCTTTCCGCCTGTCCCCAGCCTGTGCCATTTGTCACTGCTGGTGTTGGTTTAAAGGGCTGCAAGTAGTTGCATGTGAATGATTTATACCCCCAGCTGACTCACC